CCTCCGCGCGCCACGAGCGCGCCGCCGCCGACCTCGCACCCGAAGCGAAGATGGGCAACACGGTGCACAGGACCTTGCCAGGTACGCCGGAGAGCCCTGCCCAGGAGGCTGGCGCCGGGCTTCTCTCGTCCGGGGACTCGCAGGGTGACTCTGGGGGAGCCACCCCACGCCCCTTGGACCCCTCGGCGCGCCCGGGGCTGGAGTCTCTGGTGGCTCCGGGTCCCCGGCTCCGCGCGCCCTCCCCACAGCTGGGCTGTGCGCTCCGGGAGGGCTGGCACGGCGTCCTGGTTACCTTGGGGACCCTCGTCCTCGTTCTCTTGGCTTGGGGCAGATCCACGAAAGGGCCGCTGGGGCGATGCCGCGCGCCCCCTCGCCTTTGTTCCAGCTCGAGGGCGCTGACAAGCTAGCCTGGGGCGCCTGGGGATGACTGGAGCCAGGCTTGTCCGGGTTCCGACGGTCAGAGACCGCCGGTGGAGCGGAGGCTGCTGGTGCTGACCGTGGGGGAGGTGTTCGCAGGGGTCCTCCAGTCTGCAGCCTGCCAGAGCCTCCGCGACACAGGCTCCCTTGCCTTGGCCGAGTTCCCCCGCGAACCCCTGCGGCGCCCCCCTCTGGTGTCCGCTCAACTAGGGGCTCTTTAGCCCCCTCGGAGGTGCAGCTGCAGAGCGCATCGCTCCTGCCTAGCTAAAACCACCCTAGAATTTCAGGAACCAGAGTAAGGGGATCCAGAAGGGGGAACCAGAGGAGGCCTTACTGGAAAATACCTGGTAACTGCGGGAACTGGTGGGCTCCCCAGGAGGCTCTGTGCTGAGTACTTTGCATGCCTGAGCTCCAACATGTGCGATATGCAAAGAAGCTTCACCCTAACGGCAGGCGTGGAACAGGCAGGCGCTCTGAGAAGGGGAAACGACTCATCCAAGGTCACACAGGCGTGGTAGGATCTGCATGGGGCTGATCTGCCTGTCTGCGCCGCCCCTGGTATTCTTTAGACATTTATAGCATCCTTAGGCCAAAGGTGAATTAGGCATGTGTGCACGTGTGTGCGTGTGCGTGCGTGTGTGTGTGTGTATGTGTGTGTGTGTAGTAAAAAAGTGCAGCTCAGGGGAGATGCAAGTCAGTTGTGGGTCAAATTCAGTGTGAGGTTTTAGCAGAGGGAATAATAACCCTGTCTCTGTTCTAATACTCCTCATACCCCTTCCTTTTAGGCATTTCATGCAGTTATAAAAGAAAAATATATATATATTTCTTCCCCTGGAGGGGACTGCAGTGGATGGTGCTGAGCCTCGAGTTCCAGGGCTGGCTTATGGAAGAGAAGGCAGCTCCTTCCACCAAATAACCCTCTGGGCAACTTTAGGGCAACTACTCTGCAACTTTCTAATTCTGACAGGTGGAGTCTTACGGGTCAGTGGCAGGCATAGGACTGGAACTCAGGTCTGCTTACTGGAGGCTGGCCTGTGCACCCAGGGAATAGCCACTGCATAGGAAGTCTATGCAGTGGCTGTTGCCCGGGTGTGGGAACCCCACTTACCCACCAGGAGGGATTGGGGAGGCTGGTGGAGATAGCAGCAGATGTCCCAGCCACAAAAGACACTGGGTAGGGGCACCTCCGTGTGGGCCCCTTTATTCAGTCTCTTAATTAAGAAATGTTTGTGCTATTCTTATAAAAAAAAAAAAAAAAAGCACTTCTGCCTCCTGTGGGCCAGCTTGGAGTGATGAAGGGACAGACACACTGCACAGGCCACGCAGAGCCGAGAATTCTGCAGTGTTTGTCCCACTTGGGCCTCTCCCTGTGGACTGGTGCCCTAGGCTGAGGGCCCGGGAGTAAGGCTGATGCCCCTGCCGTGTCTGAGAGGGGGCAATGTCTATCCTCCTGTGGGGCTTGAGACTTGCATTGATTTGAGGTAGGGACAGGATGGGAATTCCTGAGTCACATCCAGTAGTGGGTGCCAGAAACACGAGAGGCTGTTCATGGGTTTCTGATCTACTTACTGTGAGTTTCCTACACACCACACTGTTTTCTGTACCTCTGTGCTCAGCAGGTGATGCCCCTTACAGCACCTGGAATGTCCTTGCTTAAGTAGTTAATTTCTCCAAATCCATTTTAGAGATCACCTTTTCCAGGAAGCCCTCCCTGATCACTCACAGTCCCATCCTTTCCTCTGCTACCCAGACGCCTCTACTTGTTCATCTGACCCCAGTGCATTGATATCTCCAGGACTCTCCTTGGGGTTTCCTGAGGATAAAGCCCATGTCTTGATCATCTTGTGTCCCTGGTTGCCCATTCCAGAGCCCCTGGTGCCTGGCGGGAGCTTAAAACCTGGTGCTAGAGCTCGCATAGTGCCTGAATTTTCAACTGAAAGAACACTTGGCTCAGCCTTGCCCTGAAGAATCCTTGTGCTTTCGTTCTCAGGAAAAGGACACATGCGTGGGGTTCGTTCTATGGGACTTGAAATAGAGAGCTGGCATTTGCCGAGCACCTGGATTCCATGCCAGGCTTCCTGCATATGTGGCTTCGTTTACATGCCAAGCACGCGTCTCCTTAGGGCTCCTGCACTTGCTGGTCCCTCTGCCTGGAGCATTCTTCTCCTGGGCCCCCACATGGCTTCCTCCTTGCCCCCTGTGGGTCTGTGTTCCAGGGCAGTGCCTACCAGTTGCCCTGCTGCCCCTGTACTCTGCTTCTGTTTCCCCCATGCGCGTGCCACCGTGTGACATGCCGTCTGCATGGTTCTCTGGCTGCTGCTTCTCTGGCTCCTCAGGTAGATGTTTGTCCATCTCGTTCACTGCTGTATGTTGAGCAGGGGCTACTATATAGTAAAGGTTCAGTAAACAGATACTGAATAAATGAATTGAATTCTCCCAACAGCCTTGCAAGGTAAGGATTATCTTCCCCACTTTATGAATGAGAAACCAAGGCCCAGAGAGGTAAAATGACTTGTCACAGCCCACGCGGCTCATCCAGTGGCGGAGCCAGGATTGAAATCCAAGTTTATATAGCTCCAAAGTCCTGCCTTCCTCCCGTGACATGCAGGGTCCTCCCAGTCTGCTGAAGATAACATTTACTGGGTTTCCCACTGTGCACATGCTGTGCTGCAGGGTGCAATCAGGAAATGCCAAGGGGAGGGAAGTTCCTTCATGATGGATGACAGGGAAGCCCCTTAGCAGCTCCTGCAAAGTGCATCAGCTTATTCTGATAAATGCCCTGGGGTGGGGGCGGGAAAAGCCCTGGGAACTTGCGTCTGCTAAGCTCTTCCTGTGTGCTTCACCTGTTCTCTTTCCAGTTCCAATTCAATTCTGCAAAGTAAGGCGCCATTCTCCATTTTACAGATGAGGAGACTGAGTCCCAGAAAGGATAACACTCACCCTGATCACACAGGTAGCAGCAAAACTGGAATTTAGAATGCTGCCTGTTTCCTAAAACCCCTCGGTCCTTTGCTCTGTACTCCATTAGTCCTCACCTGGATTTGCAAGGGGAAAATGAAAGGGTAAACAGGTTGGGGGGCAGCATTCCAGGGTGAGGGGTGAGGGGAGGAATTCTCTCACCGGTGCTCTGACTCCCCTGTGTGCCTCTGGGCTCACTCAGAGTTCTGGTTGGAAAGAGACTAAATTGAAACTGCAGGTTGGGTTTAATCATTAAGTTGGTCCATGCTTGACCAAGCCGGTGGCTTTTCAGTATTAGCTCAGCCCTCCGGCATCCTGGTGCTTTTGGGTGAGGGAGGAAGGTTGACCTTGCTCCACACGGCGCCATGGATGTGCCAGAGCAATGCCCACGCAGTCTATATCCCATCCTCATTAACATCCCTGAGTGGGAGCGATATTCTCCCCCATTTTACAGGGCGGCAAAGGAAGGTTCCGAGATGTCAAGGACGAGGGTACCAAGGGTGTAAGGAGGAGAACCAGTCTTTCCAGTTGAGGTGGTTGGTGTGCAAATGCTGCCTCCGGACTGGGGATGCATTTGCACCTACCCGGTGTACCCTCTGAAGACTCCTTTCTCTTTTGGACCTGGAGGAGCCCTGTTGCTGCTGAGCCTCCGTGGCCAGATCTGCTACTGCCGGGCTGCCCATCCGAGCAGGGGCGATGATGCTGCCAGGTCCACTGGCTTCCCTGGCCTACTTTAGCCCTTGGGAAGACAGCAGCCTTGGTCATCTCCATGGCTTCACAGGGGGCCGCTGAGTGACACTCCCCTTTCCTCTCGCCCCTCTACCCACCCCAATTTAGAGTTAAGCTGTGCTTTCTTTGACTCCCATTAAGGAGTCACTTTTAGAGCCGAGCTGAGATGCTCAAAGTGACCACGGCTCCTCCTACTCAGGGGCTGCAAGGATGCCGAGGGCTGGGGCTGGGACGAGGGGTAGGAGCAGCGTGGTCCCGCCCGTCAGGAAGGAGGAGGCAGGAACCGGGTCTGGCCAGTGTGTAGGGAGAGTGGAGAAGTTGCTGGAAGCAACTAGGCTTCCCGTGTGTACTCTCCTGTGTTTGCCCACCCTACTCCCTTCTCTCTCCTTTTCCCTGGCTGTGAGCAAGGAAGGCTTCCTGTAGGAAGTGACGGCTGAAGGAGCGGTAACTGAGGGCCTGCCCCCGGTAGTGTTGCCTCCTGCCTGTCTTCACGTGGCTTGGTCACCCTGTGGCCACCAGCATCTCTCAGGAGGCTGAGCCGTAGAGGCACAGGGTGCGGGCGTGGGGCTGGCCTCTGAGGGAGGGGTGTGCCCTCTGAGTGTGCCCTCAGGGAGTGGGGTGAGCAGCTGGCCCCATCACTGGCAAGCATGGGTTCTGCTACCCTGTCCCAGAGAGGGAGAGGTCAGCACCCAACTCCCCAAACAAGGCGTGTCACCAAAGTGCTCTGTGCACTGTGCCTCATCACCAGGTTGTTTTTTTAAAAAGATCTTTAATGACAGAATAGAAAAGAACTAGCGTGTAGTCACATAAGGTATCTTTGCTTCCTAACCTTTGCTGGAGTTGTGCATGCGTGATGGTTGTGTCGCAGTAGTGTTCCCCTCAGTGGGGGGCGGTGATGAGAACTGGGAGTCACTGGACTAAGGCAGGGAGAGAGCTGGTGTCAGGGTTTGCAGCCGGGCCGCCCTTTCCCCGGGGTG